ACACACACACACACACACACACACACACACACACACACACACAGGAACGGAGACAAGAACACTTCTCAAAACAAACTCCAGCGGGGGAGTGTGACCCTCACCCTCCTCGTTGATGAAGTCCTTCATGGAGGCCCAGGTCTTGTTGTTGCAGTAGAAGGACGTGTTGGCCGGCAGACTGTCGTTGACGCAGTGCGCCGTGCTGCGGACGCATTTCTGCCGCAGGTTTCCCATGAAGAGCTGAAGGCCGATGAGGGCGAAGACACTCAGGCAGAAGACGGTGAGGATCATCACGTCGGCGAGCTTCTTCACGGACTGGATCAGAGCGCCAACGATGGTCTTCAGGCCTGAGGGACCGCCGAGGACGCAAGCATGCAGACAGGATTGGTTACTGCTTCACCGTCATTCAGACGGAGACAGACGGAGCTGACGGAGATCAGCAACGACTCACACTGATAATCAACCGCTCCTCTTTGATTGAAATATTGAATTCAAGCTGCTTTAATTAATAGTTCACACACTGTAAATAAAGATGGACGACATCACAGCACCCGAAAATTGAAGCCAAAGTGTCTCCACCGCCCCCTGTTGGCAGGCTGCAGTACATTTCATAAACACTGCCTCCTCCATGTGAGCAGCTGGGACCAAACAAAAAACATCAGGATGTTTCTGTCTTTTCAGGTCGTCCTTCTCACACTGAAGTTTGTTTGTCTCTGATCAGTTCGGTTTGACTTGTGATGATTGACAGCTGAGACCGACTAATGACTGCACAGACTGCCATCAGTTCAAGATGGCTGCCTTCCTGTCTGGGATAGTTTGGCTTCATTTGTGTGCAGTGGGAGGACAGCAATGCGTCGTCCATCTTTTTTTACATTCTATAGTCCAAACAGACTAGTGGTTAAATTTGAAAAAGACCCAAACTGCTCATAAATTGTTGAATTTAAGCTCAAAATACTTCATTGAGCGAATCTGTACAATGAAGGATTTTAACTAAAGCGCAGAGAGAAAATCTTAAATACATAAATAAATGAAAAACATAAAAATGTATTTGTCTTTATGTTCTTAGAGAATTCAAAGTTTTTTACTTTGAGTTTGTAACGAAACAACCTCGTCCCAACATTCATATAACGACACTTCACACAAACAAATGGTAAAAACAGCAGGAACGAAACGCTCAGAACCCAAAGGGTGCAGACGATGGTCCTCGGTCGAATCTTCTCGAATCAAAGACACAACCAGTTTCCTTTTTTTCCACCTGGAAGCTTTTTCTCGTTGATTCATTAGAAACAGACGCTTTCGGTTTCCATTCACTCTCATGTTGTCGAATCAACGTCTGTGAACTAATGAATGACGAGTGTGTTTACAGTCAGACATGGCTGCAGTTCATGTGTCACATGCTTTTGAGATGTTGCTACTCACTATTGTTATTACCCCACAGCGGCATGACTGTGTTTTCAGACACACGTTTAGGACATGTTAATAACGCTGTTAGCGCTGCATGCTAACGTGCAGAGTGAGGACATACAGAGGCTAGCCAGCGTCACCTCTGGACAGATATTTCCACTTTTTTTTTAATTCAACGTTTGTTTCACTCTGGGGGAAAAAATGATGTAATTTAAAGACACAAATGTGAAAATTTAACTTGAGGAATATTAAAGAAATATATCAGTGTAAGAGCGAGCGAACACTTTTAGAACGAAGTAAATTTCTTATTCATTTTCTCCTGTAAAGTTTCTCGTGTAACGATGTTATAATCCTGAAACCAGGCCGACGAGATCGAGATGAAACGTGAACATAAGAAATTTGATTCAGCATAAATTAAAAGTAGAAGACTGTGTACATCATTATTTGTGAAGGGACTACATATCCCATAAACCATTGTGAACCATTTCCAATGACTTCTTCTTGGATTGAATTCTGTTGCAGTGACTTTTTTGGATCATGTGTTTGTAGCTGACATGACTGACGCAACATTTCCATGGTAACAGCAAGCTCCACCAATCGCAGCCATCGGTACCACGCCTGAGAATTGTCGGTATTGTAGTTCTTCTGTTAGACATCGCAAATAAAACATGTTTTCTCCCCGAAGTAAATATTTTAAATATTATCAGCCATAATATTTTAGCCATCCAAGGTAGACTCACCACAAGCTGTGAGATTGTGAAAGTGTATTTAATATCAACTGTGTTTTAAGTGTATA